GATTGTTCTGAATTAGTTAAATATGATAGTAATTTCAGAGGCACACTGCAAGTCAGTAACAAAATATTTATGGAAATTAATTTAAGTAAGCATTTAAAATACTTGGTTTTGTTGTGCTTTTACCTGCATGTTTTTTAAGATGGTGACAGGGCCTCTTTAAGGACTGCTTTTTGAAAGGGTTGCAATTAACGCTCCCTCTTACCCAAAATCTATAAGTTTGACCACCATGGATTTAACTTCTGAGAAACATTGATATATTAATAGGCAATCACCTGAGCCTTTATCTACTTAATCACACAAGCTCCTGCAGATCTCTCAGATCCTACCTTTATGGTTACCTGCACCTCATTAGCAGTGGGTCAATGGTGCGCAAAGGTGCTTCCCAGAGTATTAGTGGAAAGGACACCTGCTACCACCTACATAGCACGGTGCCCAAGTCTAAAAAAAAGTTGGAGGGTTGAGCGTGCTTGATGAAGGTGTGTCATTTATTAACATATATGTATATATATTCGTGTGGTAAGCAAACGCCAAGGAACGCACATCACTGCAACCACATTACCGCTATGGTGTGAAAAAGGGACTAAAGCTGGCCATACACCTATAGATTATCTGCAGATTTTCTATGGTCAGATGGAAAAAGTGCAACAGATTCCTCCATCTACAGTTAAGTGTAGATGGAGGACTCTGTTGCACTTTTTCCATCCGACCATAGAAAATCTGCAGATAATCTATAGGTGTATGGCCAGGTTTAGACTTGGATATGGAGAAATTATCCGACTACCTCAAACATGTGCAATATCTGCTATCCCTTCTGTAAACGTTTTATGGTATGTAGAAAAGAGGACAAGCACCCAGGTACTGTTGGTGCCCGCTGATCAGGGAGAACAATAAAGTCTGGATAAGGTTTCAAAGAGTGGTTGGCTGTTAGGTGACTTTATACTCCATAAATAAAGACATCTCATGCTTAAGTCTCCTTTGCTTTCAAAACAGTAACAAGGGGAAAAAAACATTTCACAGGGTTTTTCACAAAAGGGTGAAGACTTTGGAGAAGGCGGGAGAAGAGAACAATCTAGGACAAAATAGTTGATTTTGAAAAATTCTCCAGTTCAGCTCACTTTCCAAATCAGTTATGTTGTCCTAGATCGTTCTCTTCTCCTGCCTTCTCCAAACTCTTCACCCTTTTGTGAATAACCCTGCCAGTGTATATGGTGAACCTTTAATTTATTTTATATAAAATTATATAATTGAATTCATACGGTTATCTTTAATTTATTGACACCTACTGTATTTATCGAGACCTACTGCTCTCCCATGTCATACAAAATTGGTTTCTGAGGGTCCAGTTTTAGGGCTAGAGAAAAGAGACTTGACTTTATAAAAATTCTGAGAGATGTAAAACATTATAGATTACCTCCAGGATTGCAAATTAAGGGTAGTAGGCCACTTTATAACAGGTTGGATTACGAGGGAAACCCTTTAAATCAGACTTTAAAAAAAATTACAGCACATTTTATAAAGGAAAACCCAGATTCATGGAAGCAGCACCTTTTTTCCCTCAAGTGACACATACTACTTCTGGGACAATTAAAACAAACCCATTGCTTCCCTTGAACTGACAAGCAGTCTATCTGCTGAGTTATGGCTGCCTCCATTAGGACCTTCTCATGCTGGTGTTTTGCATTGTATAACATCTATTGACTGTATCATTTCTCTCAACCACCACCTTCTAGTTTCCTCCCTCTAGTAACAATTGTAACAATACTGGTACTAAGTATTGTTGCTGGCAGTGACTGGCTAGTCAGTGATAGATACATTTTCTCACCTAACTATCACCAATCTCCTGGTTTTGAAGTTCAATACCAACTGAAGTTGAAATTCTAGATTACAGGTGAAGTGACGGCAGGTCTCCATTGCATCCTACACAAGATTATGAGGAGAACAAAAAGGCCAAGCTCTCTCCGTATGCTAAGGCAGATCTATACCCAACACTAAGGGGTTGATGTATAAATCAAAGACATTTTTTATGCTCCTTGGCTCCATCTAGTGACGGGAATGCCATGCAAATGGCATTCACTCAGCTATACACTGGGTGGAACGTTTATACATCAGCCCCTATGAAATCTGTTTTGGATACAGATGCATATTTTTTGCCTTCACTACTCCTTCAATTTCGTTTCTCATTGAGTTCTAGAATGTTCTCTTTAATACAAGGCTACTTTGGACATTCTGGCTGGCCTTTTCCTGGATCTACCATAATGGGGACATTTTTTATATCCCAATAAACCATTGAAAGTGAATATAGAGCCAATTTGTTTTTTTTCTTTTAGTTAAAGAAAATCAGCAACAGGAACACCAACAGCAATAAAAAGTGGACTGGGGATCTATTAGTGTTGCTGTTGAAGATTTTCTCTCACTTCCTGTTAGGTGAAACTTGTCAATGTGACAGTACCATAAAAAGGAAATCTCTCTACGTACGATAATCGCAGGTGATCCCGCGATCGTACGATAATCGTAAGGTGTATGGGCAGCGTGCGACCGCATTTACTGTACAATCGCAGGATTTTCGAATTGGGAGCATGCTAGAAAACCCACCGAAAATCGTACCATTTTCGTGGGGGTTGGTAGCGCTATTGCAAGACGAAAGCCACACGGCCCGAGGTGTGCAAGCGCACACTGCCCGCTCACCATTGCAATCATGTGTGCGCCCTCCCCTCGCAAGTACGATCTGCCTGTCCAAGATGGGCAGATCATACGAACTTTTAATCACCTTACAACGATCGCACCACGAAAGTCGTGCAATGGTTTAAGGTGCATGGCCATCTCAATGGAGCCCTGAATAGCAGTACCACTGCAGTAAGGGTTCTAATCCTTCCCTGCTCTATGAAAATTAAACAAAATATATATATATATATAT